CAACAGAGGCACAAGCGGCAGAGGTGCTGGCAACAGCAGAAGCACCACTGGCCAGACCGGTTCTCTCCCAGTCAGGCTAGTTCATCCTCCTGCTCCTGTTGGGGGGGGCTGCCTACCTAAGTTACCTAAACAGCCCCTTACTGCCAAAGCAACATCTTACCTGCTCCTGTGTAAATTGCCCCAGTAGCGGTCCATATCCAATGCTGCCTGTCTAGGCTGTACCAGTCACCTAAGACCACAAAGAGTTGGGGGCAACAGTCCCTCAGTGGGGAGGGCGTTCCGCATGTGGGCCCTGTGTTTAAAGCGCAGGCAGGTCAGTATGGAAGAAGGGGGTCTGCTCCTTGCAGATTTTGGTCCTAGGCCATTTGGGCTTTAAGCATCAAAGTCAGCCTTGGAGCCACCACCATCCCTGAGCCTCTTGGGCATCCCTGACCGGGTGCTACAGGGGAGCTGATGCATTGGGCTATTAGCTTTGGTAGCTTAATGCAGCCTCCACATTCAGGGCTAGTGTACTTCAGAATGTCGCTTTCTTGGATGGGTGGGAAGAACACGGGCAGTTTTATCATTTCATGCCTGTCTCAGGGACTTCTGGGGTCAGGAAAAAATGCTTGGCCTGCAGAGGCAGCTGCTGCATGGCTACCTACCTGTCCCCGTGTTGGGTATCATTGTGATGTGCCTTCTATTTCTGCTATGGTCAGCTGCCTCACAGACTTCCTACTCCCTTGCTATCTCTTCCTCTGGGCTCAAGGAAGTCCATGTGCCCCACAACCACCCCTTTCCAATGGATCTTCTTCTTAAAGGACAGGGCCTTGAGTCAAAAGACTTTTGAATAGCCCTTTCTCCTCCCTCACTACCCACTGACCCACCCATCACAAGCCCTGGAGGTAAAGGACTCCCTCACCCAGCAACAGTGGGGGGTGCCACCCCTAGCAGACAGCCTCACCATCATTTCTTCTCAACTGCTTCCTGGCTCTACAGCCTTACACCTCTCCCCAGCTGCATGCCTCTACTGCCAGACTAAGTTGGCAACCACAACTGCTTGCCTCCGGTCTCCAGGACTGGAGAAATCAGCTTGCAGAGCCAGCTGTGCCGGATGCCTGTCCGGCTGCTCCCACCCCTACAAACATCTCCATCTCCAAGGCTGCTATTTGGCTAACCTCCCCCTCCCTCCTGGCCTACCTGCATTGCTGCCTGAGTCACCTCCTTCTCTGCCGCCTCTTCTCTTCCTGCCGGCCACCCAGAACCACCCGCTTGTCTGCCAGGGGCGAGTACCTGCCACTGTGCTACCCCTCACTTGCCCAAAATCTCAGCACTCTCTGTGTGTGCACTACGTGTTGTTGTTTTCAATTTCCCTGGGTCATTTGCTGTGGATGTTCATGGCTCATCAGATCTGATTCAGAGCCTGCCACTTGGGCTCCTGCCGCCTGCCTGCTTCCAGTGGTCTGCCTCAGTTGTCCGGTGCATTTGGCATTGGAAACTTCAACTGCCTGGCTGACGGCCTCCCACTCCCACCCCACCCCAGGCTAAGCTGGCCAACCGCCCTGCACCTTGTGTGTCTGGGGCCACTCTAACAGAGTCCTGTCATTTAGTCAGAGCCGTCTTTCCCATTGGTCTTAGTGGTGCATCACGCCAGGGCGCTGGCCTCTCAGGGGCGCCCTAGCGAGTGAGGGAGCTGTGCGGCTTTGCCAGCAGCCTTCCCTTTCCCTGCATGCCCACCAGCTGCGCCCCGCTACCTATATGACTGGCGGGCCTGCAGCTTCCTTCCCAAGCCTCCGCAGGAGGAGAGCGATCCCCACAGAGGCAGCTTCCCTCCCAAGCCTCTGCATCTTTAAAGATGGCCCTGCTCCCGGTCGTTGTCCTCCTCCTGCTTCCTGGCGAAAGGCGGCGCGCAGCCTTCTCGGGCACCCCGACGCTGGAGAGCATGTCCGCCAGCACGTTTTCCTGCTGGATCACCGCCACCACGCCGGGGATCAGGGCGGTGGGGGAGGCAGAGGACATTTTCCACCACCCCCTCCCTTGTTTTGGAGATGCCGGGGGGGGTGCTGGAGGGATCTTTGCACCACGGTGCCAGATATGCTTAGTGTTCCACTTCCAGGTACTTCCTGGGGGGGGGATTTTATGTGCTGCAGTTCCTCATGGGTCCTCCTTTCTCATAGTCATGCTGAGTGTTGACCAGGAGACTGCTGGCACCGCTCTGCCACCAGGCCCCTGTCTTGCAGGGCCATGAGGATCCCTTGTCCTGTGGTTTTTCCATCTCTGCTGCCCCATGTCAGCCTTCTTCCTTGGTCTCCCTCTGTGGTGCCAGCTGCCTGCTGCTCTCTCCCTCTCTCGCTACCAGCCCCCTCTTCCTTCCCTAGGACCGGGGAAATTGGTGTGCCAACCAAGACTGCTAGGCAGGTAGGCTGGTTGCAGCAACCCCATATTTGTCTCGTCTAGTCCACTGTGTCCACTGTGCTCATCCCAATATGATTGCTGGTTCTGGTGCTGCTACTGCCTCCTAGATTTTAGGGCCTGGAATCAAAATACACATTCCTATTTTCTCTCTCTCATTTTACTGCTGCTGGCAACATTTTGCCCCATATATGACAGGGTCCCTCTCACATTGAAAAAGCGACTCTGTTAATTCTTTCTTTACCATCACCACTGCTGTTGACAACAATCTGCCCCTTATAAGACAGGGATTTGAGTAAGAAGTCTCCCATGTTATTTTTCTGTGCATATCTGCCTATCAGATAAGGCAAGTCAGCGGGGTTTCCAAGGATTGGTGGTGGTTTTCTGGATTGCAGTTCAGATTCAGTGGTTGGGTCGGGGCAAATCTGTATTAATGAATCAAGTGGGGGCACAACAATTTGCACTGCCTTCATTTTAATGCTCCAAAATGCTATTTAAATGCTAAGGCTGCAGTCCTGGATGCACTTACTTGGGAGTAAAGCCCATTGAACTCAATGGGTGTTACTTCTGAGTAGACTTGGATAGACTTGTGCTGTGTATATAATTATTAACCATTTACATCAGGGATTGCAAGTCAGTTTATTTACATCCATCTCCAGATGTTCTTCCCCCTTATGTGTGAAACAGTGATAAAGTGAGTCTTCCCTCCTGTTAGCAGTTGACTTCTTGGGGAAGAAAAGGACAGGTGGTGTCTCCTAGAAAGAGAACTTGGAATAGTGGGTCTCTGCTTGGTACGGCACAATAATTAAGTTGTGATCATCCCTTCCAAAGTGTTGTTTGCAGAACCTATGAGGTAGGCACAGGTGCCTTCAGTCAGATCCCTGCCCCAGTTCTGCTTATACTCTGGGTGCCTTTGGACAGTGGCTGTGGGTCACTTGCAGGTCATTCAAATGCAGTTCTTATGTGTTCACATTAGCTTCATTCCCTCATTCATTCATTTATTCATGCATTTCCCAGATTTTTGTATATATACATAACGTATTTTCCATTACAAGTCAATTCTCTTAGGACTTCCCAGTCCATTCCTCCATGGCATTCTATTTTTTTAAAAAAAGCTTAATTCCCATTTTATTACTCTTCCACTGTTTGGAATCCACACCAGAGTTTGGCCTAATGTATCCAGCCTGTGCTTATTTTGTATACCTGTGTGCGCACACTTAAAAATAAAAATCACTCAAAGATCATGAGAACAAACATTGCCGGCCTTAGTTATCATGTCCCATAATGGGGGAAATGGGAGGGGAGGGGTAATAGCCATTTCCATTTGGTTTTTAAAAATAATACATACATACATACATACATACATACATACATACATACACAGTCTTGCATTAGAGTAGTATTTAGCTATTTTAACTGTTTAATTTTCTGGGATGGAGTGAGTGGAAATGTAAAATTAAAAAATGGGATATCAGATGGTCCCTTGTAACTGTTAGCAAAACAGCCAGCCGCACAACCATTTTCATTTATTTCTTCCCCCGAAAAAGAAGCCCTGGTGCCACTCCTCATGTAGGAATTAATGAGATATAATTGCTGGCTGGCAGAAAAAAAAGTTATGCCTGAACAGCACAGAGATTTAGAGGAGACTCCCTAAAACACGTCCGGGTGTTTTTGCATGAAGTGCCGTAGCTCACGGGCGGGGAGCCTGCGGCCCCCTATATTCTATACCATTGCTATACCATTGGCACCCAGACCAGTGTGCCTGCCCACCTGTGTTGATGACGCCACCTTCCCATTTGTGTGCAATGCTGGCCTTAAAAAAAAAATCATTCCTATGGCAGTGTTGGCAAAACCTGCCTCGTGGTATGACTTGTGCAGTTTGGATAGCACTGTTGCCATTGTGTAGGGTGTATAGGGTTGTTTTTGTGTGTGTGTGTGAAGAGAGAGAGAGAGAGAGAGAGAGAGAGAGAGAGAGAGCATAATACTGGTGTTTGGGTGTGTTCTTAAAGAGCAGCTGTGCTTTCCTCATTCTCGTGTTAGGTATACTGGCATAGCTGTCAACGTTTCCCTTTTTTTAAGGGAAATTTCCTTATTCCAAATATGATTCCTCGTGAGAAAAGGGAAAAGTTGACAGCTATGATATGCAGGAGCACACAGACATTTCTGTGAATGAAAGCTCACGCCATAGACTTGGTACGTGGCATAGTCTGCATTTATGGCTCTTTGTCTCTCTGGGATGGAGCAGCCTGCCCACCAGGAGTGCATGGGGATGTTGTATCTGCCCCCCCCCCCACTTTCGGCATCCCTGGCAGCGATTGCGAGTCTTCCTGTGGTGACTAAGGAGCAGAGCAGTGGGAGGTGCGGCTTCCGACAGGGTCGGGCGGGCGTGGCCAGTCTGGTTTCGGGGTTGGGATGATTGACGTCAGCACCTCCGAGGCTGGGCACTCTTCACCTGTTTCCAGGAGGCGGCAAGGCCCATACAAGTGTTTGCCTGCTCCACCGAGGACTGTGTACATAGCCCTCAGCAGCTAACATGCTGCCTCCTGCAAATATTCGGCAAAGACTTCTTGGAGTGTACTAATGCCTGCTCTCTCCCTCCTTTCTTCCAGCTCTGCCACCGTTCAGGATGCAGCAGCTGATCTCCTGCCTGGGCTTGTGGCTCTTCTTCCAGCTCCCCTGCCTGAGCTCCGGGACACGTGTCGTCTACAAGGTACAGGAGGAGCAGCCACCCAACACACTGATCGGCAGCCTGGCAGCAGACTATGGCTTCCCAGATGTGGGGCACTTGTATAAGCTGGAGGTAGGTGCCCCCTTCCTGCGTGTGGATGGTAAGACTGGTGACATCTACACTACAGAGACCTCCATTGACCGAGAGAGCCTGCGAGAATGCCAGCAGCTGTTTCCAGGGGACCCGTGCTTCCTGGAGTTTGAGGTTTCCATCACGGACCTGATGAACAATAGCCCACGCCTGCTGGAAGGGCAGATTGAGGTGCTGGACATCAATGACAATACGCCCAACTTTGCCTCTCCCGTTATCACATTAGCCATTCCTGAAAACACCAATATTGGGACACTCTTCCCCATCCCGCTGGCCATGGACCGTGATGCTGGCGCCAACGGTGTGGCTTCCTATGAGCTCATGCCTGGTTCAGATGCCCAGAAGCTTTTTGGCTTGCAGGTAGCAGAGGACCAAGAGGAGAAACAGCCACAGCTGATCGTCATGGGAAGCCTGGACCGGGAGCAATCGGAGTCCTATGACCTGACTATCAAAGTACAGGACGGGGGCAACCCACCACGTGCTAGCAGTGCCTTGCTGCGCATCACCATCCTGGACATGAATGACAATGCGCCCAAGTTTGAGAAGCCCCTCTACGAGGCTGAACTCTCGGAGAACAGCCCCATTGGTCACTCCGTGCTGCAGGTGAGCCCCTCCTTCCATGGGGGAATGGGGAAAACTGAACGGCTCTCAGGTGGGACTGATGAATGTATTTCCCGTTTGAAAAGCAGGGCAAGGAGCAGGCTGTGTGACTCAAGGTTTAGAATGACTGGCATTTTCAGAGGCCGTGCAGATATGCCGCTGCTTTTCCCAGCTAAATTTTACTGCCGTTTGACAATCTGGAGAACGGGAAGAGGGCGTGGGGAACGCAGAAGTGGCTTAGCAAGGATTTTCATGGGGGAATGAAAGCCAGCTTGGGTGGGAAGGGTAGAAAAACACAGGTGTGTCTGAGACACATCATCTTCAGTGCTGGCCCAACCCTGGCTGAGACCTCATCACTTCAGAATGGAGATGGCAAATCTGATGTTTGATTTATGCCCCTATAGATTCTTTCAATTTCGTTGTTCTGTATGGGACAATGACAATAAAGATTAACGTAATCATAATATAAGGGACGCGGGTGGGGCTGTGGGTTAAACCACAAAGCCTAGGACTTGCCGATCAGAAGGTCAGTGGTTCGAATCCCCTTGACAGGGTGAGCTCCCGTTGCTCGGTCCCTGCTCCTGCCAACCTAGCAGTTCGAAAGCACGGCAAAGTTCAAGTAGATAAATAGGTACCGCTCCGACAGGAAGGTAAACGGCGTTTCCGTGTGATGCTCTGGTTCGCCAGAAGCAGCTTAGTCATGCTGGCCACATGACCCGTAAGCTGTTTGTGGACAAACGCCGTCTCCCTCGGCCAATAAAGCAAGATGAGCGCCGCAAGCCCACAACTGCACCTAATGGTCAGGGGTCCCTTTACCTTTAATCGTTATATATATATATATATATATATATATATATATATATATATACACAGAGAGAGAGAGAGAGAGTGTTACAACCTTGTTGGATCAGGATAATGCTGATGTATGTATATACACTCACACACCAAGGAGATGACTTAGGTCAGAACCTTTCCTCCTAGCATAGGTGAAATTGGTGGTGCTCAGGCACTGAAAGGCATTCCTAGGATTTGGGGTTAGATAATTTTACTGTGGGTTTTAAATTCTAATTTTTCACTCTTCTATGGGGGTATCACTGGTTTATGAAGCAGCAGCCCAAGCCGAGGGTGAGAGCATTTGATTCCTCCTTTTTTAGGAGAAGGGACAGGGGTACCATCTTCCACCTTGGGTCATCAGGGCCCTCCATCCATCCAGTACAGCAAAATGATAAGCAAGAGGAGCAAACAAGAACAGAAATGACTGGTTGTAAGAGAAAAGCAAACATTAGGCAGACCTTTTAAAAAAGCAAACAATGAGTATGGGGGTGATTTCTTGGAATAGGGCACAGCTTTGAGAAATGAGTAATCTGTGGCCAAGGTGACTGGCAACCTCTGTTACTGCAGCTCCTGTTGCTTCATAAAGTGCTTCTATTGGGTTACCTGGCAGGAGGGAGGGGAGCCTATGAGGCGCCATTGGCTAGGCTGGAGCCAATCGCCATCTGGTTTCTCTACCTTCCCTTCCAGAACAATCTCATACAATGTGTCTGGATTGGCTCCCCTCCCTTTTGAATTATTCCCATTAAATTGTAAACTATTATATTCAGCTGTGAAATCCGTGTTTATAAAGTGCTTTTCATGTGTTCACAGTGTGCCATGTGCATTTTCGCAAAAGCTCTTTCAATCATTCTGTTAGGTATTTTGTAAAACAAATCTCTTTCTGTCTAGATGTAACACCTGAAGTGGCTTAAGTTACTGCAGGTAAACTTTCTCCTTCAGACACAATATAAGAGCTTGGGCATATATGGAATTGTGTGTAGCAAGAAGAGGAAGGGGTGGGTCTTTGCATTTCACCATTTTAATTTCTTGCATTTTTAGTTGTTGTTGCTCTTGCTGTGGCCCTCCTTGGCTAGTTTATATCTTCTCCATGTTTATAATTAAAGCCAATTGCTGAGGATCCATTTTCTGATGACAGCAGAGAGACATGTTGTCTTGTCAGTAGGGCTGTGTTGTTGTTATGCTACTACTTCACAGCCCCCTTTGTTGTCTACTGAGTGGTGCAACCTCTTCAAAAGATGCTTGATAGCATCAGGTCAGATTAGTTATCTCGTATTTTAACGAGTAACTGATCTGGCAAAGAAGTACCCTTGGGACAGTCCCACTGCAGGAGCAAGTCATCACAAAGAGGCATTGTTGATGCACACTATGCACCTGCCATTGTGAGACTCACTGTTTCCTCTAGGTTTTGCTGACACCTCTGAGTCTTGATTTTCGGAGCTGACACACCACTCTAATGAATGCAAAAGGAAAGTGTGGATTCCCACAACCCAAGAGGCACATACAGATCTATGGTTGCCTCACCTCAAAAAGGAAATTGAAGAGTTGAGAAACGTTCAGGAAAGGGCAGCCAAAATGATCACAGGTGTGGAACACCTGTCCTGTGAGGAAAGGTCCCGTGATTTCAAGCTCTTTAGCTTGGAGAACAAGCAAGTGAGAAGTTAGTATGACAGAAGTTAATAAAACTATGCATTGCATGGAGAAAATGGAGAAAGGTTTTTTGTCCCTCTTTCATAACACTTGTGTTGGAAGATTAGGAGAGATAAAAGAAAGCACTTCCTCACGCAGCATGTAATTAAACTATGGAACTCGCTCCCCTAGTATTGATCTTGGGTTTGTCCCTTCTCAGCTAGGGAGTCATTCAATGGTTTATGCAGTAAGGACTTTCTTTGCACAGCCCCACTTCTTTCTATTGCTCAGCGTCAGGGACCTGCTGGGTGGTTTTTGGATTGGTTTTCTTGGTAAATTCTTTGCATACCAGAGTGGAAGAGGTGGCCTCTCAGCTAGACCAGCCAAGCCAGTTCCACCAGAAAGAGAAATGCCTCCTGTCAGTCTCAGGCAACACCTGGGCTTTTGGCCAAGAGCTGAAAGACCTGAGGAGCCTAGCAAGCTTCTGCGGGAGTCATGGGATGTGGGCTGTGGAGTTAGCTGGGACATTGTTGTATGTGCAGTTGGGGCACTTAGAAGACAGTGTTTGGGTGTATCAGGTATGGATTGTGGGTGTCGTCTTTGACTAACAGAGGACTTGAATGGCAGGATGTAGTAATAGTGGTTATTTAATTGGGACAATTTGCATATAGTGATAAACCACGTTTAATGATGACTGGGACTGCCAGATCACTCTGGCCTTGCTCCTCCCTTGGTGGAAGTGGGAGCAGGAAGCCATGAAGCCTTTGCATGTCATTACCAAGGTTGCGGTTTGTTTCTCCCTAACAAACCATGATCAGCAAACCATGACTTCATGTTGGCTAATGATTGTGGTTTGTTAGGGGGAACCACAACCCCAGATTTGTAATGCTGTAATGACAGGCAAAGGCCTTATGGTTTATTGCTGCTGCTTGCACCAGAGAAGGAACAAGTAGGGAGTGATCCGGCAGCATTCATTAGCACACTGCTCAATAACCCTGACTTACTGCTACATATTAAGGAGACCATTTGTTGCATTTTACCACACCATTTCTCAAACGTGGGCATTGTCTCATTTTATCCTCCCCACAACAACCATGTGAAATTGAGTAAGGTTGAGAAAAAGACTGGCCCAAGATCGCCTGGTGAGGTACTGTGTAGAGTTCTGGTCACCCCATCTTGAAAATGTTTATAACAGAGTTTGAAAATGTGTACAAAAGGCCAACCAAGGGATTGTAGCACCTTCCCTATATGTTTGGGTTTGGGTTTTTTTTAATAAAGAACTTGTTTTAGAGAAAAGGAGACATGACAGAGGTTTATAACATTATGTCTCATGTGCAGATAATATATGGAGATATATTTCTGTCTGCTTCCCAGAACACTAGAACACAGGGCCACCCAATAAAACCTATAGCTCAGCTAGTATATTCCAGACAGACAAGGAAGAACACAATGCCTGCTTTGTAATTCCTCCATCGCAGGGTGTGGATGGCCACTGCGTCACGGTGGCTTTAAAAGGGGATTGCACAAGTTCATGGAAGACCGGTTTATCAGTTAGAAGAGGCACCTGGAACCTCCATGTTCAAAGGCAGCGTATCTCTAAATGCTAGTTTCAAGGGGGCAAAGTTTGCACCTGGCTGGCCACTGATGGAAATGGGATGCTGAAGTAGGTAGAGCAAAGCTCTTTAATTTTTCCTTATTATTTATGGATGAGAGAGGATACGAACAGATCCAGAGCTGTAGAGTCCACACTGCAACATCTCTTTTAATGCTTTTATGACAAGACAAGGCATGCCTCATGCTTGCAGGGTTGTTTTGTCTTTTGTTAGAACCAGGAGTGAAACCGCCCAGAGCTATGTGAAAAATAGGGATTCCTGGAGGTAGACTTACACCTAAGATTAAAGATGAGGGAACCTCTGAGGACATCTTCAGTCTAGGAACACCATTCATACAAGAACGCACTCATGGCTTTCCCTCGCTGTCTTTCATTTAGACAATCAAATTCAGATTGGGGGGAAACAACCCTTTTCGTTGTTGCTATTGTTCTACAGTTAAGAGTCAAAAACCCTCGCCAACCTATTACAAATCACCATTGTAGATCCTGATGTACTTTCAGCCCACTGCTATTATAGACAACAGTGGTATAAAAGTTTCAGTGTGAAACTTTTACTGGCGATCACCAAGAAAAATATTGGTAACTTTTGGAATTTTGACAGGGATGGCTCCCTTTGGCTTGCATCTTGCCCAGTGAGAAGCAGCTGTAGTGAACTAGTGCTCTTGGTGTCGGTGCAATTGATTCAGTTTACATCGCACGATGTGATACAACACTTTGCGATGGCTGAAGTGTTCTGTCATCTCCTTGGTGCAAGGGACAGTTGGGGCACATTCTTAAGGCCAGCAAGCTCAGTTTTCTCAGGCATAATTTATCAAGGTACCTGCTCACCACTTCCTTTTCTCATTGCAGGTGAAGGCCAATGATTCTGACCAGGGTGCCAATGCTGAGATTGACTACTCCTTCCACCAAGCTTCCGATGTGGTTCGCCGGTTGCTGCGCCTGGACAGAGCCACTGGACTTATCACTGTTCAGGGTCCCGTTGACCGTGAAGACATCAATGTGCTCAAGTTCTCCGTGTTGGCCAAGGACAAAGGGGCCAACCCGAAAACTGCCCGTGCCCAGGTGGTGATTAGTGTCAGGGATATGAATGACAACGCTCCATCCATTGAAATCCGTGGTATTGGCTTGGTCACCCACCAAGATGGCATGGCTAATATCTCAGAAGATGTGCCGGTTGAGACACCTGTGGCTCTGGTACAGGTGTCTGATCGGGATGAAGGTGAGAATGCTGTTGTGACCTGTGTGGTGGCTGGTGATGTACCTTTCCAGTTGCGACAAGCCAGTGACACCGGAAGTGACAGCAAAAAGAAGTATTTTCTCCAGACCACAACGCCACTAGACTATGAGGCCGTGAAAGAATACACCATTGAGATTGTGGCTGTGGATTCTGGCAATCCACCTCTGTCCAGCACCAACTCTCTCAAGGTGCAGGTGGTGGATGTTAATGACAACGACCCAGTTTTCAGCCAGAGCTCAACAGAGGTATCTTTCCCAGAAAATAATTCCCCAGATGACTTGGTGGTAGAAGTGAGTGCTACTGATGCAGATAGCGGGTCTAACGCTAAGCTGGTGTACTCCCTAGTGACAGAGCCTTCATCCAAAGGCATATTCTCCATTGATCCAGAGTCTGGTGAAATCCGGGTTAAGACTGTCCTGGACCGTGAGCAGCGAGAACGCTATGAATTCTTGGTAGTCGCAGCGGACAAGGGCAGCCCCAGCCGGAAGGGGACGGCCTCTGTTGCCATCAACGTCATGGACCGCAACGACAATGACCCAAAGTTCATGCTAAGTGGCTACAACTTCTCCGTCATGGAAAACATGCCCCCTCTGAGTCCCGTGGGGATGGTGACAGTAATCGATGCAGACAAAGGCGAGAATGCCTTCATTCAGCTCTCAGTAGAGCAGGACAACGGGGACTTTGTTATCCAGAATGGTACTGGCACCATCCTCTCCAGCATTTCCTTTGACCGTGAGCGGCAGAGCACTTACACCTTCCGACTGAAAGCTGTGGATTCAGGTGACCCACCCAGGTCTGCCTATGTTGGGGTGACCATCAATGTGCTTGACGAGAACGACAACGCTCCTGTCATCATTTCTCCATCCAATGCTTCCTACAAGCATATCCAGCCGCACACCAGTCCTGGGCAGCAGGTCATGAGTGTGGGAGCCGAAGACATTGACTCTGGGATCAACGCTGAGCTGCAGTACAGCATCATGGGTGGAAACCCCTTTGAGCTCTTCAAGATTTCGCCCCAGAGCGGAAACATCACATTGGAAAAGGAGATCCTCCGCAAGCACCACGGGCTTCACCGCCTGGTGGTGCGCGTCAATGACAAGGGCAAGCCGTCTCGCCACGGCACCGCTCTGGTCCATTTCTACGTCAACGAGACCCTGACTAACCGCACGCTGCTGGAGACTCTGGTGGGACACAGCTTGGACACGCCGATCGACATTGACATCGCTGGCGACCCCGAGTACGAGCGCAGCAAGCAGCGCAGCAACATCCTCTTCGGGGTCATTGCGGGCATAGTGGCCGTCACTCTGGTCATTGTGCTGGTTGTGCTGGTGCGCTACTGCCGCCAGAAGGAGGCCAAGAGCGGCTACCAGGCGGGCAAGAAGGAAACAAAGGACCTGTACGCTCCCAAGCAAGGCAGCAAAGGCAACAAAGCCAAGAGCAAGGTCAAAAAGAACAAGTCCCCCAAGCCGCCCAAACCAGCCGAGGATGAGGAAGAAACGGGCCTGCAGAAATCCCTCAAGTTCAACCTGATGAATGACTCGGTCAGCGACAGCCCCCGCATCCACCTGCCCCTTAACTACCCCCCTGGCAGCCCTGACTTGGGCCGCCACTACCGCTCCAACTCCCCCCTGCCTTCCATCCAGCTCCAGCCCCAGTCGCCATCTGCCTCCAAGAAGCACCAGGTCGTGCAGGACCTGCCGGCCACCAATACATTTGTGGGCACAGGGGACAGCAACTCCACAGGCTCGGAGCAGTATTCAGACTACAGCTACCGCACCAACCCTCAGAAATACACCAACAAGCAGGTAGGAGAGCTTGTCCTGCACCCTCCCAGAACCCCCTCACGCCGCACCCGGGCCATATGGACAGAAGTGTGGGAGTGACGTGGACTCCGCCCACCCTGAATGAATGGACCTTGACCCCTTGGCATCTTGCAGGCCGGAGCCTGCAGGTGTCCAGGTGCCAGTTGCTCAGGAAAGGACTGCTCAGGGAAGAGGCCTCCTGCCAGCCCAGCCGGTGGAGGGAACAACTGTGTGGGAGGCGGGAGGAGACCTTCTGGCTGCAAGGAACAGGAGCTGGCAGGTGGCACCCGGGGGGGAAGCAAGCATGTTGCTTGGGAGGGGCAGGGTCCACTGGTGGGTGGGGTCTCTGTGCGTTCTGCTGGAGCCCTTTCACGGAGCCCTCCATGTATGGTGCTCACTGAAATAAAACGGGTCGGAAGGCATGCATTCTGGGTCTTTGTATATGTGTCCCAGGCTCCAGCCACTCTTCCACTCACCAATCTTATACCTCGGGCAAGACGCAGAAATGCCTATCCCAGTTCTGCCGCAGAGCCTGATGACACGAGAGCCTCAGTGTATCTGAGGACGCAGGGTAAGAAAGGCAAGTATCTTGAGCGGTGGCACAACGGGTGTGGCTGCAAGGCTTCTGCATGTGGAAATGGCACCTGCCCCCGCAGCTGGGGCTTCTCCGCTGCTTTGAGTGCGCCTCCGCTCTGAGGGCTATCTGTGCATGCATTGGGATACATCCGTGGAGTACAAGAAAGAGGTTAGCTTTGAGCGCATGTAGGGCACGGAGCTTATTGCTTCTTCTTCTTTCTTCTTCTTTTTGTTCTTGCTGTGTTTGAAGCAAGGGCCGGTATCTGCTGAAATAAGAGATTCTGAACTGCATGACAGGGTACTTGGCAGCTTTGGGAGCACAGGAGAGGGAGACCTCCGGCTTGCAAACTGGTTAATGCACCGGGAAAGTCCGTAGGCGGTGTGGCTTCGGTAGGCTTTGTCCTTTCCTGTCTGTGCTTCAAGCTAGTGACCTGTAGAGGGTTTTCTGTGCAGGGTTCTGCAACAGATCCAAAGTACTGAGAGGAGGGGACTTGTCTCCCTGATACTGTGCCATGTTCTCCTTCCATCCAGACTTGTATGTCCTCAGAGTGAAAAGGTGTTTGCCTATTGAAGGGCTGCAATAAAATACCCGTTGCTAGTGAGCATGTTGTGAAGTGTGAATGTCTGGCTGTTGTACCGCAGCCTCTGGGGCAGTGGAGGAGAAGGGAAGGACTTTCCTTCCAGAAGTCATTTTGCTACTGGTATTCTCTTGTTCCTTTTTTGTTTGTAATTTAATATGGCCTGTTTGTGTATTTTTTATTATTATTATTTTATATGGTATGTTGGGCAAGGAAAGGGGAATATGGGGGGGGGGAGTCACATTAAATCATGTTTCTTTTTTAAAAGAATACCATATGAACAATATTTCACAAATTAGTTTGGAATACTGCTATAGCATTATCCCAACGGAACCTACTGTTTTTAAAAATAAATAAAAAAAATCCCCAGTTGTTTCCACACACACGCATTTCTCTTTAACAAAACAAATGGGTTTAAATCACAGTAGTGACTTTGTGTGCACTCATAACAAACTGTATTTTCTGCCAAAAAAAAAAAATCCTCATAAAAAGGACTTTTTGAGAGCTCCAGTTTTTGGCACGAGGCATTATTGCTGCATTATCAGTGTATAATCTAGATAGCATTATTTTAATCCAAAGAACTGTTTGTATTGTTTCTCACACCCATTTGGTGCTCAGAACAACAGGGATTTCAATTTTTTATATCCTGCCTTTCCACCAAGAAGATGAAAGCAGCCTATATGACTCTCCCTGGCCCTGTGTCATCTTCAACCCACCCTTAGAGGTAGATTAAGCTGAGAGATTTTACCTGGTCTAAGGTCACCCAGGGAGCTTCATGGCTGCGTAGGGATTTGAAGCTGAAACTCCCCAGTCGCAGCCTGACACCGTGGTCAATACACCACGCTGTGTTTTTATGGGGGCCCTAAGTATTTAATTTTCTTACATAACCAGCAAATCTGCCAAACATCTGTAGGGTTAGATTTGCAGTACGCACACAGCAGATTTGCAGCACAGTTTGCTCAGGGGTAGAAGTGTCCCTGCTGAGAATGTAAACAGCTTTAACAATAGATTGTTGTAAGCCAAAGTGTCTAAGAACTTTTTGTTGAAGTGTAGTGTATGTAAATGTTCCAAATAAACACACAAGTGTTTTAATTCTTTTTACTAGTCACATTTAAGGATACAGAGGTTGCTAATTTTTTATATAGGTACTGTCAATCTTTGTCTGAAAAGCACACCTGCAGGTCCAATTCCCATTTTACCTTACACTTAAAAATGGTTCAGCCTCTGTTGCAATGGTATATACCCTTTCCAATATTTCCAAAGTCATGTTGTGGCTCCTCTACACACTCGCATGGGAGTAAATCCTTTTGAGTACAATTTCTGAGTTGGCCTGCATGAGGTTGCTGTGTTCGTTTCCTTTTTATATTATATCATGTTCAGACATTAAGAACCCCATCCCCAATGTTGGTAGTTCTGCGATTATTTGTTATAGCAGCAAAAGGTAAAATTATATTGATCATCACAGTATCTGCTCAATTTTTTCTTTACCATCCCCAAAATAATACTTATCCTGGTAACTGATAAATATTCAGCCCCCAAATTTTAGACTACAGTGCTGGTGATACTAGGGGCACTCCCAGAGCCAAAATCCATTCATATTTCCCCCAGATGTTTACAATTGCAGACTTAATTACATGATTCTTTAATTTTATAGAGCTCCTCTCCTTCTCTGTCTCACTCGCAAGGTTTATCCCTGTTTGCTCTACAAACCGCCTCCCAAGTTCACTACCTGGCTCCCACCAAAAGGATAAAACCATTAAAATGGCAGCGTAGTAATAATTGTTGCCGTACTGAGAAGTCTCAAGCCATCCTTGGATACCAATTACTGTGAATTTTCTAAGCTAATTCTTGTGTCCCTCACCCTCCAATGGATTGATGGATTAATTAAGTGGATTTGAATCTTCTTAAGTGTTTTTTGAGGGTCATAGGTAGGGAGAGGGGGAGCTTTCATTTTAACAACCGGAAGCCTTCCTATCCAACAAAAACATTTTCCCCACCTGGTTAAACTGTGACTTAGCTCATTAAGTAAGGGGTAGAGCTTGTCTTTAAACAACCACCAACAAAGGCACTCATTTGATTATAGGCAACTCCCCATTTGTGCAGGGTTTGTATTCCAAGGCACCAGGCACACTGGCAGGATGTACGGAAGCCCCCTCCTCGCTCTGCCCCTGCCTCAAACACAGTCAAATGGGGAGAGTATCAGGGTGAAGAGGTGGGGGTAGCTGTGCGCAGGTGCGCAGCCTGAGAGTCATTCTGGACTCACAACTGTCCATGGAGGCGCAGGTCATTTCTGTATCCAGGGCAGCTGTTTATGAGCTCCATCTGGTACGCAGGCTGAGACCCAACCTGCCCGCAGACTGTCTGGCCAGAGTGGCGCATGCTCTAGTTATCTCTCGCTTGGACTACTGCAATGCGCTCTACGTGGGGCTACCTTTGAAGGTGACCCGGAAACTACAACTAATCCAGAATGCGGCAGCTAAACTGGTGATTGGGAGCGGCCGCTGAGACCATATAACACCGGCAGGGACGCGGACTTATAAAAAATATTGGGGGGGCCCGGGAAAGCTCATGAATAATAAATAAGCTCATGAATATGCAAATAAAGTGGCGCCGCCTCCTCGTGAGCAAATAGGGGAGAGCGTGCTGCGCCTATTAATCAGCTCCAAGGACCTTCTGCTAGGGAGGGAGGGAGGGAGGGAGGGGAGCCCTGGATCGCCCTCTGTTTCTGTCTTGCAAGAAACAAGGAAACAGGAGGAAACATTGTATCCGCTGTTGCTACATTTTGTAGCGCGCTTCTTCCCCGCTTTCTGCTCTCGGTTTCTTGCGCTCTCCTGGCGGATCGCGCGCTCCAGACACGGGGCTGCTGCTTCCTGACTTCGGATTGGCTGCCTCTCACCTTGGACGATGCCCATTGGTCAGCGATGGTTCTTTGAGAAATCCTGATGTTTCATTGAGGGGTTTCGGGACTCTATTGAAGGGTTTACAAGCCTTCAATAATCTCCGGCGCTCTGCTGGAGGGGCGCCGGAGATTATTGGGGGGGCGGAGCCCCCCCCAAACAAATTTTTGAGGGGGCTCGGGCCCCCTCAAGCCCCATGGAGTCGGCGCCTATGAACACCGGTCTTGAAAGACCTACACTAGCTTCCAATATGTTTCCGAGCACAATTCAAAGTGTTGGTGCTGACCTTTAAAGCCCTAAACGGCCTCAGCCCAGTATACCGGAAGGAGCGTCTCCACCCCCATCGTTTTACCCGGACACTGAGGTCCAGCACTGAGGGCCTTCTGGTGGTTCCCTAGCTGCGAGAAGCCAAGTTACAGGGAACCAGGCAGAGGGCCTTCACGGTGGTGGCACCTGCCCTGTGGAATGCCCTCCCACCAGATGTCAAAGAGAAAAACAACTACCAGACTTTTAGAAGACATCTGAAGGCAGCCCTGTTTAGGGAAGCTTTTAATGTTTAATAGGTTATTTATTTTAGTGTTCTGTTGGAAGCCGCCCAGAGTGGCTGGGGAAGCACAGCCAGATGGGTGGGGTATAAATAATAAATTATTATTATTATTATTATTATTATTATTATTATTATTATTTTCCTGTTAAGGCGTGTCTCATAGTAGTTGTTTGAACTGTTTTTATAAGTGCAATTGTTTTAACTGTTTTTCCATATGCAGCTGTTTTATTTTTCCTTTTATGTAAATCATTTCTCGACGCCTCATAGAAAGCAATTCATAAATGAAATGGCAACAACATAATAATAAAATTGCACAAAGGACCAGCCCATTTGCACACAGCGCAAGGGGAGGCAGAGACTCTTTGCAACGTGGATGGGGAAGAAAGACATGGTGGCCTACACTTA